ACGCCCCGGATGGTGAGGTGTTGCCACAACCCTTAGTTTATGTTGGAGCACTCACTAATAATATAAAGGAAGAGCTCCCTAGCTTAGTGTTGGTGTTTTCGGACCACCGACGAGTAAATTTGTATTTGTGCGTCTAGCTCGGATGGTGTGCTCGGATGACACAAGGGTTTATACTTGTTCGTGCAGAACGTTCATACGTCTAGTTCGCTGCTGCTCGTGTTACCAGCACTTGTTTTGCAGTAGGGGTTACAAACAGGCGAGAGAGAGAGGATCCCAAGCGTCTGGTGGAAGGAGTGAACGGGTGCTGAGAGCTCGCTTGCCGCTCAGCCATGTGCTCGTGTCGTGCTCTTGTGTCAAGATCTCGATCCCCTGTCCCGATCTCCACTTTCATGGGGCGCCCTGCTTCCCCTTTTATATGTGAAGGGAAAGCGCGGATTAAACAGGAGGAAAAGGAGAAGAACGAGAGAGAGCAGAAGCTTTCCAGGGTTGCCGGGTCCTTCTTCTCCTTCATGCGTGACCCGTCGATCCTGTAGATGTCAATAGGGATGGCTCCATATCGCGGCCCTGTTCGTCACTGGCGCCATGCGCATGCGTCATCTGCCGGTCATGGCGTTCCACTCCATCCCGGCGGACGTCGTGGTGAACTTACGCGCCTGTCAGCGTCCGTACGAGGATTATGCAGAACAGCACCGGCATGTCCGACACTGTTCTTGATGTGAATCCTCAGGTATGACCCGTCATGGCCACGGGTTACATTGAGGCGTGCCAGCCTCTTCTCTGGCGTCAGAGTTTTGACCCAGGCCCATACGCTTGGACCTGGAGTGGTTGGCAGCGATATGGGTCCCTGTCGGACGAGACGAAACCCGCGGCCTTGGGCAAGACGGAACCCGCGTACTTGGGGTCGGGTGAGACGGAGCCCGCGGTCTCGAGGTCGGGCGAGACGGAGCCCGCGGCCTTGGGGTCGGCTGAGACATTTTAATACGCCTCGAGCCATCCGGGGAAGTCAACGTGGGCGCTAGCTCCATTGCTTTGGGTATCCTTAATATCGATACCCGCCACTTAGGTCACAAGGCCTTAGCTCCACTAAGAGTATCCCTTCTTTGTCTCTGGATCGACGGTTCTCAATCTAAGCACAAAGAAATCCTAGGCCTTCTCAACAAACACCACGAAGAGGAAGATCACTAAGCCACAAGCACCAATTCATTTAGGTCATGAGTTCATGACAATCACCACTAGTAACAAGCTAACTTCCACTTGACCAGAACCGGGCAATGGCACAAAGGAATTCACACTTGCTACTCACTTGCACTAAAAAAGTCCTTGATCTTGCAATTAATCATCGGTATGCTCTCCTCTAGCAATATATCTCCCAAGGTATGTTTGCCCAAGCTAGGAATTATTAGAGAGAGAGTTCAAAATGAGCTGGAGAACACCTATTTATAAAGCCACCAAAGAGAGATACTGGATGATACGGTGGCCACGGAAAGTCATCACCGGATAGGAGCCGATCTGAAAAAGTGTCACACATACTGATTTTCTTATTAATCACGACTTAGAGGCGCAGCAAGTTTTATTTGGTTAATTTCTATAGCATTCAACTGCAGCGTTTTCTGTTCCAAATCCGCTTGTATTCTTAGTATTGGATGTCAAAGACCCCGTCCGGCTGGTTATGTTCCATTTTGTTTCAGCTTATTCTCTCTCACAGAATACTATTTATTCATCCAAAACCATCCGTTTTACTGTAGCACGGACCAGCCTAACAAGGCGAAAAACGCGCCGCGATCTAGTCGATCTATAGGGTAGACTCAAAATAAGTACTTTATTCAACACGGTATGTGCAGTCACTTTTAAGTCTAAGCTTTACAAAACATATATATATGTGTTCTAGAAACATAATACACTACTTTTTTTTTTCTAACGACATGCGTGGTTTTGACCCCGTCATACTCATCATAACGACATATATATGATATATTTATAATATAATGTTTTTGCAAGTGATGGGTCACTTGATCAGTGTTGCTGCATTATATCCATTTGAAATGCAGGAGCATGGTAGCAGAGAGTAGTGCTGGGCTGCTGCCTACTAGTATGTATAGTACTAAAGGCTCTGTTTCATCCATAGAGCTAATGTTTAGTTACCAATAATAATCGGTTTGTTTAGATCTAAACGACTGTAGCTAATAGTCTAGCTAATTATTAGTTAAATATCTAACTAACAACTATCTTATTAGTTGGACCAAGCCCGCCAGTAATAGTTAGCTAGGTAGACAAGTTATTAGCTAGCTAACTATTAACAACTAATGTGAATCTAAGACCTAATAATAATTCAGGTGCATCGTCATGGGTGACTTGGGCGCGGAGAGAACCCCATCCAAATTAATCGCACGCAACTCACGTGCACGAGAGAAACGGCAGTGTCAAGTATACAAAGCCAAAGCCAAAGTGCATTATTTGTTGATAGGAACATGACAGCAAGAAGATGGCGCACAAAGAATAGTAGACTACTAGCTAGGTATATAGTAGGTGAGTACATATTATTGTCCGTATACTTGGCCACGGCATCTTCTAGATCAACAGTTAACAAATAACGTCATCAGATTCAGCTCGCGTGCTTAATTCCTTATTATTACAAGATATATTAAAGGCAACTGTACGAATTTAGTAGGACTGTATATAATAATAAAGCAAGAGCTCGTGCACTTAATTAAATTTGATGGTCACCTTTATTTGTGTTATTTAAGGGCACAATAACTATTTTGCTCCATCAACTATTACTCGAGGCTCAATTTTATCCATAAGCTTTCAAAACGGCTGTTGAGGTCCTCAAACTTTAATTTTAGGCTCAATTTCATCCTACAACTATGAAGATGGTTCGGTCCTCACATTTTGCATTTTGGGCTCAATTTCATCCATAAACTATCAAAGTGCATTTAACTTTTATTTTCAAATCAATTGTCTATTCAAAAAGAAAACTTTATATTTTAAGCACAACTTCATCCATAAATTATCAGAATTATAGATATGCTATTGTTTCAATACATACTATATTCTTAAAGAATAAATAGTGTTCGATGCAACTGTAATTGCTCCCATAAATATCATTTAGTCGGATATATAGATATATAAATGGTACCATTATAAGGTAACACTAAAAATAACAGCTTAGAATTATTAAAGGCCACGAAAGAGTTTTTGGATGAATATTATTTTTCTATCTTCAATCGCTGGTGGTGTTGGAGCTAACCAGGTGCAACAGTGCAGCGTTCCACGTAGAACATAGACAAAGTTGAGTTGAAAATAAAGTTTAAAGAACAAAATACACTTTGATAGTTTATAAATGAAATTGAACCCAAATGCAAAGTTTGAGAACTAAAACGATCATCTGCGTAGTTATAGGATAAAATTGAGCCTAAAAGTAGAGTTTGAGGACTAAAACGGTCATTTTAAAAGTTTAGAGACGAAATTGAGGCTCGAATAATAGTTGAGGGACCAAAATAACTATTGTGCCTTATTTAAGATTGAGTAGTTGGTGTTGTTTAGGATGGGAGTACTTCCTCACACAAAAAGAGTGGAAATCTCGGTGCCCAAAAGTCCTATTACTAAGAGTATACCTAGACTGTACCCTTTCGTGGTGGTCGTCATGAATATCTTGGTCATAATCGACACTGGTACGGTACTCCCAAAAAGGTCCTTTTTTCTTTGGTATTTTGGAATTATCAACATGTAGGATTAATAAGAAACAATAAGTATGACCGCTATTTTATATTATATATAAACACAGAAATTTGTAGTTGTAGCGCTGTGGTTCTTTATAAAAAATTACCCGTATCATTTTTATGTGTTCAATATAATTGCAATATTAGAAAATAAAACACATTATTTTCATTTTTTTTAAAAATAGCTAGGTTCACTATCTGTGACCGGAGCGATACTATATATTATTCAGCAATGCCAACGTACAAATGAACAAACTAAAGCTACGTACATATACTATACATTTATCCGTTCATGTGATACATTAATTTATATATGGAGGACTTCATTGGGTTTAGATTTAGCCCCTCTCCAAATATTTATTTGTGTGGAAAACTTTCCTGACCTTGACAAAAAGCCTTATCTGTCGCTGCCGCATGCCATACCAGGCATCTTCCCTGCTTTTAGCTGATTGGCCGAACTTTTACCACGTTTTTCTTTTATTTTTGAAACAAAGCACACAAATGTAGACAGTCACTCACTCACGTCTCACACGCACACTATCGCCCTACCAACACAGGCACACGTACCTTACATCTACAAGCATCTTAGTACCAACATAGGCACACGTATCTTACATCTACAAGGATCATAGAGAGACTAATTAAGCTAGTAGATCTTAATATTGACGAAATCATCGTCACATATATCTCGTTATGCACACAGACATGTCACCCACCATTGAATGAATAACATAGTTTTGTTTCTGAATAAATCTAGAAAAATATATTGATGGTCTCCCCAATTTAGAACTTAAACTCAACCGGGTGAGCGGCATGTTCCTGAGTAATAACTCGCTTTTAACGTATTTTTCAAAAGTTATTACAAGCATCTTTAACGAGTATCTGAACCAGCTATTATAAGAATAAATTAATAAGCTATCACAGCTAAATTATTTTCTTTAAAGTTATGTTTAGAGACTGCATCATAGTATCCAAATAAAACAACACTTTAGTAATAACCCTGCCAATGCAAGATTGTATTAGATAGGAGTATGCACCATAGGGAAATGGACAGTGCGTGGGATCACGATGATGACGTGATGGATAATATACTATTCGGTACCAGTATAAGACACATGCTTGAAAACGATGTGATCTAGTATGTTGCAAGTTGCTGATGAATATGCATGACCGATACATGAAAAAAGAAATTCCCACGTTTAGATGATAAATATATATAGCCAATAGCCTATAGGCTTTAACTGAAAGCATGCACATGAGTTGGACATGTAAAAGACCTCATCAGTAGTGTGGAGAATGCCATAAAATTACAACCTTTTCTAGCGCCCCTAAAACAAGGTTAAGGAAAGGGGAGCTATACATTATTACACACAGACATTTTTTTTTGGCATAAACTCTACGCTCTCTTGCTTGATGAATTCTACTTACCATGCATCCATCATTACCCCAAAATTCCTTTAAAAAGGTCACTGATCATATATACTCGATATGATCTACTCCGTACTTCAGTAGTGAGCATGCATGCATGTAACTAATAATACCGGCCGTGTAGCAATGCAGGGTGCATGAAGCTAGCTGTCGAGATGCATGCATGCGCCGCCATCTTGTAGCGTAGCCTTGTACAGCATCAGCATGCATGTAGAATTGTAGACGATATCGATGTAGCTTTGCTTTGCTAGTATCTGAAGTAGGAGTCTCTCGAGTCGAAGCTCCAGAGAGAAGCGGTTGCGCCATGGATACCGTCATCCATGTCCTCGTCGGCCACCGCCTCCGCCGGCGGTGGCACTTGCAGGAAGTCGTACGCATTGCTGCCCCAGCCGGTAGGGGAGAAGAGGGGCGGCGGGTGCGCCATGACGGGCCGCCAGTCGATGCTCCCGTCGGCGCGCACGGGCGCCACCACCTCCGCCGCGCTGGTAGCTGCGCCACCAAGGACGCCGCCGCCCACGTCGTGGCCACGGAGTAGTAGTAGTCCCACGGCGTCGCCGAGCAGCCGCCGTCAGCGGCGTCGGCGTCATCCATGATGAGCGCCGCGGCCGCCTGCTGGGCCGTGACGGCGGCGCGGTTGGCGTGGGAGAGCGCGGCCGCCTGCACCTCCCGCGGGTCGCTGCTGCACCCTCCCGCGCGGCACGGCGGCGGCGAGTCCGGGAAGTTGAGGTCCGCCCCGGCCGCGCCCCGGCCGCGGAGGCAGACGAAGGCGGCGTCGAAGGCGCGCGCGGCCTTGTCGGGGGCGTCGTAGGAGCCCAGCCAGATGCGCTCGCGGCTGTTGGGCAGCCGGATCTCCGACACCCACTTGCCCCACTTGCGCTTCCGCACGCCCTTGAACTTCTTGCTGCTGCTGCTGCTGCTGCCGGCCTCCGTCTCCGGCGACGACGACATGGTGCCGCCGAACGCTGCTGCGGTGCAATGGCGCGAGCCGCCGATCGAATGAGCTGCTTCTGCTGCTGCTGCCTGCTAGTCCTACGTCATCGATGGATCACGGCGGGCATGGCATGATGAATCTTGGTGGGCTCGGTGGCTCGGCTACTTATACGTCACCGAGCGAGGTCGCGCGCGGCGCGTTGACCCGAGATTCAACTCGAGAATGGCGCGTCGGACGGCGACGTGCCGTGGGTGCCAGCCACATGGCAGGCGTTCCTGCACTCCAGGCCGAGTTGGGAGCGCGTCCGCTAGCTGGGCGCGCGAGCCCGGTGGGGCCCACCCCGCTGTGGTCTTCTAGCGACGGGAGGCCGTAAATGATCGTGGATTATTTACTACGGACTAATTTGGTGTGAGAGAAAAACACTATTTCTAAATTGAAATTTCCGATCGTTCAATAATAAGCGAACAGGCTGTAGACCTCTTGGGTTGAGACTTTGGGAGGACGAGAGGATGATGATGGTCTCTTGTCCTATTTGGCAATTTTCCTTCTTTCTTTTTTGTTTTTATATGCTCTTAACTACGCATGATTGATTGTGTTGCTGTCTTTCGTTTTCACGGCCTACAGTTTCTGGTGCAGTGGTTGGTGCCCCATCCTTGTCTGGTTGCTGATATTTATTTACACGCATCGACATCATTACCACAGTATATGTAAGTCCTTTTTTTCATTTCTTTTTGACAAACACTTTTTTTAAAATTTTGACCATCAGCATCACTACCTAGAGAATAAGTTAGATCGACAACATAAGATTAATGTTAGAGGCTTATTTTTCTCACAAATGTTTCGGGTACGGTTCCTCCTAGAAAGGTTTATTTGTGAATTAGAATTGGTTGTCTCTAACTCTAAAGGGATAGTGACGAAAGTGGATGTCCGATTATCCATTCTGTACGAATCCGAATCCGAATCCGTATCTGATAAAATTTAGATATGAATATCTATATTCATATATGTTTTTCAATATGGATGCTAAAATAAATTGACGCATATGCTCCCATTAAATTATTGGTATGGTAAATTAAAACATTATAGACAAAGGCGCAGGTCTAACATGAATAAGAAGTAGTGCTGTATTTTCGTCAACTATTATGGTTATTGGAGGATTTTTCTGCAATGCTATATTATTTTATTTATAGGATTTTTTGTGTGCAGCATTAAATTATTGGTATGGTAAATTTAAACATTATATAAAATGGCGTAGGTCTAACAACAATAAGAAGTAGTGCCATATTGTTCGTCAACTATTATGGGTATATGTATAATCTTTAAATTCTATATTAAGCAAGCTTGTCATCTATTTCGTGATGTTCATAGGTTTTCTTTATCTCTTGATCATATTGTGTTTCATAATTCATATATTTGTGTACCAACATGTGATACTTATAGTGGTTAAAAATTTAAACAATGGACCATCCTAACTACAAATGCTAGCTACGCCACTGCCATGGGAAGGGAGCATATGCCCCCTATGGGCAAATTTAACTTTTACAATGCTATAAGATGGATATATCTGAATAACTCTTACTTTAATATATATTTGCATAATGAGATCGTTCTTCCAAAACTATCGATAAAAAGATAGAAACTTCTAAAATAATGAGTAGATATCTCAGTGGTGGCCAACCTAGGCCCCCCCCTTGCCCTTGGTCTGTGCATATGTATGTGTCAACTGAATATCATCGGTAGTCCTCCGAGGGGTATTCCATGAAGGTAGATTGATCAGCAGAGATGCGTGTAATCGAGAACAACAAGGCAACAGAGACACACGAGTTATATAGGTTCAGGCCGTCAGTATGACGTAATACCCTACTCCTGTGGTCTGTTGGATTGTATTGGCTATCGTATGATATGGCGTGAGTTTGGAGGGGGTCCCTGCCCGCCTTATATAGTCCGGGGGCAGGGTTACAAGTCGGTTAGATCTGAGAGATAACCGGAAAGTAATAACAGATTACATGAATCATGGGATCATACGTATCCTAACAGATCTCGTAGTATCTTCAGAATATCTTCCCGGTGTCTTGCGGGAGACGTCGAGCAGCGTCGTGCCCTGCAAGGCTTCGTCTTGTGGGCTGGGCCGTCCCTAGGGGCGCAGCCCATGTGGTCTGCCGTGGGTATCCGGGGTCGTACCCCCTACACCTAGTCTCCGAGCGCCGTGTACCCGTTGTGCAACACCGTCTTGAGCTTGTCCGAGTAGGTACGAACAAAGTCGAGCAGTCAAACTCATGGTTCGACCACCGTGATGAGTTGTCGAGCAGTTGTGAGCAGTTGCCGAGCAGCGTGAACCGTCGTCGAGCAGCGCGAACCATCGCCGAGCAGTGTGAACCGTCACCGAGCAGCGTGAGCCGTCGCCGAGCAGTGTGAACCGTCGCCGAGCAGTGCAACCCAAGTATGGCTTGCCATAAGGGTGTAAGGAGTTCAAGTTCAGAATAAAAAATTTCTTCGCAGTGGACCAAGTGTTCCCACTTAGAGTCCGACCACGAGAAAGGGAGATAGTCTTCTTTAGCTTCAAAAGGCACGGAGTCTTCCAGAATAAAGCAAACACACTCACCGCGAGGTAAAGTGTGCCCACTTAGTCCCCGATCCTGATAGTAGGTGACGCAGTCACGTGGTGCCAGGGTCCAAAGTAGAAGAAAAGTAGAAGACCAGCCGAGTAGGCAACCAGTCCCTGGGCGTAGCCCCGAAATGAGAAAAAACACATTCACCGCAAGATGAAGTATTCCCACTTAGTCCCCGAGCCTGACAGTAGGTGACGTGGTCACGTGGTGCCAGGGTGAGTAACAGCAGTCAACAGAGGAAAATCCCCAATGCGGTGAGGAACCAAGACGTAATGCTGACGCAGTCCCCGAGCCACAAGAGGAAAACTTGGAGAAAACAAATCGCGGAGAAAATACCGGAGTAATGGATGTACAGTAATAATTACTGAGCCGTAACGGTTGGCGAAGAAGTCGGCGAATATTCGGCGAGCCATAACAAATTACGGAGATAAATGGACGATACGGGCCGCGGTTGTGCGAAAGCCTAGGAACAACCCACCTTGCTGTTGTGGAGAATTTGGAGAGGCTCCAATCATGGGAGTGGTTTCTCAAAAACCCTCAAATACGAAAAGGTGGGGGTAGTGCTTTATAACTGCGCCGCTGTACCCCGCGCTCCCACCTTTGCCACTTTGCCATTTCATCTTCCTCCTCAACCCTCGCACTTCCCGATTCACATCCACACGTGCTTCCGCCGCCAATCCCTAACCAGATCTGAGAGATGGCGCCGAAGAAGGGAGCTGTGAAGCCAAAGAAGACGGGCACCGTAGCCAGCCATGACGAGGAATGGGTGCCATCGAGGATGGGTGAGGCGGAGATCAACAAGATGGTGGAGGCGGGCGTTCTTCCTGACCGCGTCACCGCCGGATGGCGGCCGGCCAGCGGTGAGCCCTTCCCAATGCCTCATACTGATGAAGTAGTGGTGTTTGAGGATTATTTCTGGCGTGGGTTGGGATTTCCTGTTCATCCTTTCCTGAGGGATCTATTGGAGTTTAGGGTGATTAGTCTGTACAATCTCCACCCAAACACCATCTTGCACATCTCGATCTTTATCCACTTCTGCGAGGCATATCTGGGGGTTCTTCCGCACTTCAACCTCTTTAGACACCTGTTCTGGTTGAAGAAGAAGGGTGGCAGCGGTTCCAAGGTGGTCGGCGGCGTATATCTGCAACTCCGGGACGGAATGGCGAGCGAGTACATCACTGTACCGCTGAATACTTCTCTGAAGGGGTGGAACGCCAGGTGGTTCTACATGAAGCAGAGCCATCCTGCAATCCGCTGCGATGTCGACCACATCCCGGAGAGCCAAAAGAGCTGGTCGAAGAAACCGAGCAGTACCGACATGGAGCAGGTGAGGGAGCTCCTTGACCTGATAAAAGGCGTGGAGGTGAACGGCGGACTAGTAGCGGCGAGCTTCATAGTGCACCGCGTCCAGCCCTATAAGGAGAGGGCCCACCCGGGCTTTGACTTCAAGGGCGACGACGATGGCACCCGGGAGAGACCGGAGAGGCTGATGAGGGATGATGTGCTAGAGCGGGCCGTAGAGCTATTCGCTCCAAATGCCTCGTTCATCGTGTCAAGGCAGACGAGGGCCTTCAACTGTACAAATCCACCTCCTTAGGTAACCATCTCAATTGTTTTGTTCGTGATGCTTTTTATCCATGATTGTTGCCGAGCAATGAACTGATTCACTTATGCAAAGATCCATTCGTAGGAAAGAGCGGTGTACTTCTCGGGCGTGTCGAGGGGTGATTGGCCGCAGGCAGTAGACGCCCGCCCGCCAAGTCGACCTGAGGAAGATGCGGCCAGCGCCTCGTCGGAGTCCGAAGACGCAGACGCTGGTCGGGCGGAGAGTACCCCCCGGTGTCGGAGAAAGTCCGGGGGAAGAGGACAACAGCAGATGAGCCGGCCCGGAAGAAGAGGAAGACGGTGGGTGCTGTCCCCCGCAAGCCAGACGACATCTCGCTTGGTGGCGACCCGACCACTCGGACACGGAGTGCGGCGATGTCCGAGTGGTCAGATGACGACGAAGTGCCAGTGGCTCCTCCACCGAGCACTGAAGCGCCTCCGCGCAACACGCGCACAGAGGAACAATCGAAGGAAAAGGAGGGAGTCCCCGAGCAGCAGGCGGCGATCGGATCTTGGCATGGCTAATCGGCGAATCAAGCTTGTGGAGTATGAAGGTCTCTGATCCTAGCGGATCTCGTTGACGTGGCAGTGCGCCGCTTTAAGCATGGCGGCGACCTCTGGTGTTTGTGGAAGCCAGGCGAGCTCGTTGGCGGCCACTGCCAGATTAGCGCTTGGAGTCTTATAGACGTTGTGGCCGTCCACATGGACAAACTCGTCGTCAAGGTTTACGTTGGAGTGGCCTTCCTTACAAGTCAAGCTGAGCCTCGGCCATTGCAAGGACAGCCTTGTTTGCTCAGCGCTGC